CTCTCCAGCCTGTCAAGGTCCCTCTGGATGGCATCCCTTCCCTCCAGCGTGTCCACCACACCACCCAGCTTGGTCTCGTCATGTTTTTGAAATATTTGTTTTTAAGAGCTCTTCATGAAGCACTGTTCTTTCAGTGGAGAGAACAGCGTATCCACAGAGACCAACAGCTGATCTACAGCTATGTAGAGTGTAAAATTTAAAAACCTTTAAAATGGATCCTGACATTAAAAACTAGCTGTTAGAAAAAAAAAAAAGGACGGACTGAGGCCTTACGTTGTGGATGTGCGAGGAAATGTCCTCGTTCCTGATGACAACGAGCAGCCTGTCGGTGCCCGGGTGTTTTGCTTCGCAGAAGCTCAGGGGCTCGACCTCCACACGGCCATCTTCCTTCAGCAAGGTCTGAAACAGAAACCGTGTGAGAAGGTTTGTATGGAGTATTTCTTCTCTGAAAGGGTTGTCAGCCACTGGAACAGGCTGCCCAGGGAGGTGGTTGAGTCCCCATCCCTGGATGTGTTTAAGAATAGGGTGGATGATCTACTTAGCGATATGGTTTAATGGGGATTAGGGACGGTTGGACTCGATGATCTCTAAGGTCTTTTCCAACCTAGAAATCTACGAATCTATGAATCTATGAGAACATCTTCATAACAGCAGCGCTGCGCTCCTGGCACACACGTGTCTGGGGACAAGGAGAGAGGAACGAGACAGCGACCTCAGCCAGGCACCCTGGTGTCAAGGGCAGCCCGTGGTGTCCCTCTGTCAAAGGTGCTGCACACTCCAGGCTGGGGCTTCAGCCAAAAGGGGAAGAAGCATTTACCTTTGTCAGCAAAAACCTTCTAGAAAACCACCTCGAGCACCTCACCGTACCATAGATTCACAGAGCCTGGGCCATAGAGCCCATGCCCTGGGCCTCTCTGTTACTCTGGAGCAGCAAATCCTCCCAGGCAACCACCCTCCCTGAGTTTCCAACCCTTTAATGAGAGCTCAGGCAAAAGCCACCTCAGAACCATTTAGGGTGGTAGAGACCTTTAAGATCATCAAGTCCAACCGTTAACCCAACACTGCCAAGTCCAACACTAAACCATGTCCCTCAGCACCACATCTGCATGTCTTTTAAATCCCTCCAGGGATGGTGACTCCACCATTTCCCTGGGCAGCCTGTTCCAATGCCTGACAACCCTTTCACTGAAGAAATTTTTGTAATATCCAATCTAAACCTTCCCTGGTGCAACCTGAGGCTGTTTCCTCTTGTCCTATCACTTGGTACTTGGGAGGAGAGACCGACCCCCACCTCGCTACAACCTCCTTTCAGGGAGTTGTAAAGAGTGATTAGGTCTCCCTTGAGCCCCCAGGCTAAACACCCCCAGATCCCTCAGCCACTCCTAGTAAGACGTGTTCTAGACCCTTCATCAGCTTCGTTGTCCTTCTTTGGACACACTCTAGCACCTCAAGGTCTTTCTTGTAGCGAGGGGCCCAAACCTGAACACAGGATTCGAGGTGTGGCCTCACCAGGGGCAACGGCTTTAAACTGAAAGAGGGGAGATTCAGATTGGATATAACGAAGAAATTTTTCACTCTGAGGGTGGTGAGGCACTGGCACAGGTTGCCCAGAGAAGTTGTAGATGCCCCACGCCTGGAAGTGTTCAAGGCCAGGCTGGATGAGGCTTTGGGCAACCTGGTGTAGTGGAGGGTGTCCCTGCCCATGGCAGGGGGGTTGGAACTGGATGGTCTTTGAGGTCCCTTCCAACCCAAACCATTCTGTGATTCTATGATTCGATGAGTACAAGGAGACAATCACTGCCCTAGTCCTGCTGGCCACACTATTGCTGATACAAGCCAGGATGTTCTTGGCCTTCTTGGCCACCTGGGCACACTGCCGGCTCATGTTCAGCCGGCTGTTGACCAATACTCCTAGGTCCTTTTCCACCAGGCAGCTTCCCCAAGCCTGTAGCGTTGCATGGGGTTAAAAGCCACCTTGTGGGGGTTGAGTTTGGGCTGCTCCTGCATGAACTCCGATCTGTTTTGGCCCGAGGCATGTTCAAGCAACAGGACAAGAAGAAAATGGCCTCAAGTTGTGCCAGGAGAGGTTTAGATTGTGTATGAGGAAAAATTTATTCACTGAAAAGATTGTCAGCATCGGAACAGGCTGCCCAGGGAAGTGGGTGGAGTCACCACCCCTGGAGGGATTTAAAAGCTGTGTAGACGTGGTACTGAGAGACATGGTCTAGTGGTGGACTTGGCAAGGTTAGGTTAACGGGTGGACTCGATGATCTTACGGATCTTTTCCAACCTAAATGATTCTATGATCCTAATTTCTGGCAGCGGGAGCCAAGATGAAATGGCAGAGGCAGCTCCTGGCTTCAGAGAACCAAATGCCACCTGTGCCGGGTTGACCAAGCTTGCCCTGCTCCTGCTGCCCTCAGCTCCCACCCCAGCACCACCCGTCCCCATTACCTTCACTCTTGCAAAGAAAGGGTCCTTGCTCGTTTCCACCAGGTAGAACATGCCGGGACGGCCGCAGGCCTCCTTGGCTATGCTGCGCAGGCGGAAACGCAGCGTGCTGCACAGGTCCACGATCATCTCCTCGAAGGTTGCCATCCTGCCAGAGAGGGACGTGCACGTCCGCTTGCCAGTGACCTCTCCGTGCGCCGGGACCAGCCCTCCACCCTCACTCCCCGTGCCAGCCCTGCTCAGCATCACCCTCTTGAACTCCGCGTACTCGTCAAGGATGAGGGCGATGTCCCCGCCGGAGTCCTTCGGCTCATGGTCGTATCTGAGCTTGCTGAGATGGAAGGGAGCCGCGTGGCCCTGGCTCGTGGCTTGGGATCTGCTCCTGCTCCTCTTGTGGCAGAGGGTCTCCTCCCACGAGGTCCACAGGTCCCCGTGCCAGTCGCTTCGCCGGTGCCAGCCGAGCCCGCTCAGCCGCGTGTCCGAGGGCAGGAGCGTCACCTGCAAAGGGCTCCTGCTCCGCGGGGAGAGCGGGACAGGAGCTTCTCGCACAGGCAACATCTCAGATACCATCTGGGGAGGAAAGTCTTTTGGGAAGATGCTTTTGGAGGTAGAAAAAGGTGGTTTCCCACTCCTTAGGATTTGTTTTAGCTTATAATGGAAACGGAGACACTCCATGTCCAAAGTGTGCTGAGTGATTTCCTCAAAACCCCTCCAAGTCCCCATCAGTGACCTGAACAGATGAGACTGTCCCGCGCAGCGGCTGTGCCTCTTCCAAGGCTGCAGATTTCCCATCCTCTCCTGACACTTCTTAGTGATCACAAAGTTCCGGTAGTCCTTGGTGATCCCCTGGCTGTCCCTAATATTGATGTACGGAGGAACGTGCCCACTTCTGGCCTCCCCCGGGCCGATGGGCCAGCCGTGCTTGGCCCGTGGGCAGCCCCCCACACCCGGCGAGCCCCAGTCCTCGCTGCACCCCTCCAAGCTCGGGGAGGGGGAGTCACGGATAGTCCTTGTGCCTGCAGCATCCGCGGACCTCGTGCTGTAGGAACCCCTGGGTGTCAGCAGGGACTGTGAAGTTCCCTCCGAACACTCCCGGTCTGAATCGCCGGAGAAAGTCTCCAACAGATCTTCGAAGGTCAAGTCCGTGCGTCTGTCTTTGCTGGGAAGCTGCTGTGCCCTCGGGAGCGTGTCTGAGATCTCCTCAGCATCGCTAAGCTCCAGGCTTTCTCCGGAGAGCTCCCTGTGCGCGCGTAACGGCCACAGCGGGAAGGTAAGAGTCGGGATTTCTCCCTCTCCCACCTCCATGCTGGCAAACGCGTCGGATCCCTCGGCCTCGTGCTCGCCCTGGCTGCGCACGGACTGGGGCTGGCACAGTGGCAGAAGCAACTCCCCTGCAGAAAAAGATGCAGGACTGGCAAGAGGGACATTGCTTCCTCCTTCCAAATCCTCAGGCAGGATGGGTTCCTCCTCATGGCTGCCTACCGCATCTGCTGCTTGGCTCCCAGGGCTGGCACACCTAGGGCAGGTGCCCACGCAGCAGGACCATGGGGCACCGTCTGGAGCTGGACTCCTCCCAGGAAAGAGCATCCTGGGGTGCACATCGAGGACTGAGTCCAGCTCCGTGCTACGCAGACCTGCCTTGTGACCCCGTGGAGAAGGTGGCATCGATCCTGGGTCACCTGGCACAAGTACATCCGCGAGGGAGCTCTCTGCTGCCTCTGCATAGCACAGATCCGGGTCTTTTTTCACCTCTTCTGTACATCTGGGCTTTAAGGAGCCATCTGGGCTCTTGGTAGCCACACTCACCTCTGCGGCACCCATTTGCTCACAGCACTGCCCGTGTTGGCACAGGACTGGCCCCTGCTCGCTTTGCTCTAACACGTGGTGGTGAAGGTCTGTGCCTCCACCACGGGGGAGAGGATCCTGCTGGGGGGGAGAAGCAGGAGCTGAGCCTCTGTGGGCAGGTGAGGACAGGCCACCCAGGGAGTTCCGCTGCTGCCTGGGGTGCTCCTTCATGGCAGACATCCCCTCTCTCACCAAGGAGGAGGGCTCTGATCCCAGGAGGTGATGAAGAGAGGTCTCTAGCTCCTGCAGTGTGTTAGCCACCATGGCTGTGCTTGTTTTGTCACTCTTGGGGGAATTCTCTGCACCGGGGCACCCATCATCACTCTTCCCAGCTTCAGAGTCACCTGCTAAGGCCGTACAGTCGGAGGTGAAGCCCTGGCCATAACCTACTCCCAAGGACTCATCCAGCACATCTGTCTGGTTGGCAGAGGGGCTGCTACACTGCTCTTCCACCAAAACCTTGTTCTCCTCTTGGTTTGATCCACCAGTGCTCAGCAGGGTGAGGTCAGCACAAACATCACCTCCACACCTCTGGTAAAGGCAGCTGCTTCCTCCCAGGTCACTCTGTGATGGAGACTGGGTGCTTGCCACGGCCTCCTGGTCCTCTGGAGCAGCCTCGGGATCTGTGGCTCCATCAAGAGATGCCAGGCAGGCAGAGCTGGAGTTGGGAGACAAGGTTAGTGACGGTCCCTGGCCGCGCAGTGACCCGCAGCCAGCTGTGCTGGCAGCTGTGCTCCCAGCCAGCGCCCACCTTTCTGCAGAGGGCGCACGGTCCTTGTCTTTCTGCTCCAGGCCGTTCCCGAGCGTCTCTCCAGCAGGTCCCGAGTTGCCTGTAACGCTGTCTGGCTGTGCCCCACAGACAAGCCTCGGATCAGATGGTGACGGCAGCATCACCCCGCTGCCACGAGGTGACTCCACACTGGCTGGATTAGCTGTGTGTGCCAAACCAACACCGTTTGTCTCTGCATCTGGGGTGGCCAGAGCTTCCCAGGGCTCCTGCAGCGTGTCCAGGCTTGGTGCCATCTCACCAGGAAGCCCCTGAGGGCCAGTCTCAGTCCTAGTCCCGTCTGACAGCACTGCTGTTGATCTGCTGGGGCAGGGGGACGCTAAGGCAGCAGGGCT